CTTTGTTTCTAAACTCAGCAAGTGCATCTTGCTCAGGACTTGTAAATTCCTAGGCATTCACTCCAGTCACCGCAGCACAGCCTCTGCCGCCAGATAGATCTGTCTCTACTGGGGAAAACTCCTGTCTCTAAGCCGTAGTTTCCACATGTGTAGAAGGGAGATAACTGCCTGCTTATAGGGTTGTGAGAATTAAGTGACATAATACACGTAAAGCACAGCACCTAACACATGGCAGCACTCAATATATATTGGCCATTGTCATTGTGGCATCACCAAAGTATGTGCTGGATTCCAAGAACAAAGTTCATACGGACATAAATAATATGGTAGGTTGGCTAAAAGCATTACTTTATAGTTCTGTATCATTTTGGTTCAACTATTTTGACATTGGGGGATACATATGGTTCTCCGTTATATGTAGTCTATAGGAGGTCCATGCCAACCATCTTTTAACGTTTGGGTCCCAGACACCAGTCCTCATTACACACACATCCATGGCATGGGTATCTCTCCCTAGCCCTGTCTTCCATGCAACTCTTTGGTTTGTACTGTGACTAATCCTTCATAACACGTTGTCACCTAGACACAGTACTGGGGAGGGATTGGAAATGTAGCTCCAAATAGCAGTTCTCAAATAGTGTCATCATTTTGGTTGCCATAATCACAGGGAACTTCTATCTGCACTGGAGGAGGGGGGCAGATTCTAAGTATCTAGAATGGCCACAAAAATAATTGTTGCTTTGTCCAAAATACCAATATACAGCCCCACTGAGGCATCTTTTGCATAGACTTTCTCAGTTCCAAGACGTCTCTGGCCAGGGTCTGCTTGTGCTGCCTCTTCTTTCCCTTCACCTTTATGGCTGAACATCTGTTACAACTAAATCCAATGACAAAGTTTTCAAATGGAGTGTCAGAGAGCAAGGACATGAAGAGGATCATACGCCATTCTGCCTTCTCAGTGATGTGGAACATGGTCAGTTGCTGAGAAGAAGGTAGGAAACGCAGATGTGGTCTGGGTAGGAGTAAAGGGTGGCTGCTATTCAGCAAGGGGGGGTCATGTTGCCATTTTGTCTTCTTGGACTGATTTTTTTCTTTTCTTTCTTTATTTCCCAAGTATTGTATCATTCACCTGTCCCCAGAGTCATAAATGAGTTACTGACCCACTAGAAGAAATCGTATCTGAAAAAGAGCCAAAGAAGGATAGACAGACTTTGAAGAGGGGTAAAAGAAAGGAGGCAGATGGGATAAAGAACACCATTCGGGCCTCTTTAATTTTACAGCTGTAGAAGAGGAAACCCAGAGTCTACACTGAAGTTATAAAGAGGGCCTCATGTTACTCTAAACAATGGGGTTCCACAAATTTTTAAGCTTGTACTATTTATGTATATGGATAGGACACGAAAACCTTCAGGATTTTTCCCCCCTGTATTAATTTCTGATATGCAGTTCAGAGGTGTTGGTGTTATCAGTGATACGCTATCACAGGTCAACAGAACATTCTCCTGCTTAAAACTGTGCTTGAAAAAAGATTTAGGGGTTGAGTAAATTCAAGCAAATTTGATTATAAACCAATGAACTGAATTCCACAATAACAATGACAGCTATCGGCACAAACCATCCCCTACCCTGTACCCCACAAGTTCAGTGAGGACGGGACAATGTTGGGAACTAGAGATCCAGTAACTCAGTTTTACTCTGAAGCATTTTCCAAGCTCTGAGCTCTTACCTGCTGTCTTCCTTTTCCCTCTTTCCTCTGACTGGGGAGAATTTTTCCCTGGCTATGGGTCCCAGGGCTACGCTTCTAATCAGGGCCACTGTGTGCTACACAACTCCAGGCGCTGCTCTCCACAAAGACTAAGACAGGAATGGCACCCCCCAAGGCAATGAGCCCACTGCGCAAGAACCTCATCCCTAAGTCCCACTGATTGTGTCCAACAGGGATGGGTTGTAATACCGTCAGAAAGTATTACTTTCTAAGGCAGCAAGCCTTGAATACGGTGTCGTGACAATTGGGAAATGTATTACAAGTAATTTGTTACTAACATGGACATTCCGAAGACTGGGTATGATTGACTTTTTAGATGTTAGAATGGCTTCAAGATTATGTCTCTAATAATGTTATTCTCATCACACCACAATAGTTGTTTGAAGGGCCATATAGCCAGTAAGCCAGGAGAGAAACATGGGATACGGCTGCACATTTACCATGCATGTTTTGGCAGGGAAAAAACAACATGAAGGTTTTTGGTCTAATGCGTGGTGTGCTGAAGAACTCCTTAAAAGCCCAAGAGATGTACTCAATTAGAGAAAAACCTTACCCTTAAGAATAGTATCTATTCTTAAAAAAAATAAGCAGTTGTTGGAATTAAAAGCTCCAAGTTGTATAATGTCTTTGCCACTGACTAGCTCATTTGGCTTCAGCTGCCTCTTGCAGGACTCCGGTACTGGAGGTAGAACGATGAAAGTGTTATAGGACCGACAGTCATTTTGAAGAACCTGGAAGTTCAGCTTCTTCGTAACACAGAATAAGACAATAACTGTTACTTGAACAGGAATAATAATGGCTGCCATATGAGATTACCTATGTGTCAGGCACTCTACCAAGCACCAGGCTACTATTTAGTCTTTACAATTCTTTGTGGCAGGAATGAGCACTGCCACTTTGCATATGAGAAACCAGAGGTCAGAGAGGTTAACCCATCCATGGTGACATGCTTTCTAAGTACAACTGACTGAATGATGTCCAGGGCTCTTTCACCATAGCCACTCTGATTCTGTGACCTGGAAAGACTTGGTACCTCTATAGCCTCTAATCACATACCAGCTTTAACTAAAAATGACTCTAAAAGCACATGTACCTCTTACAATGGCTACCATTTTATTTAGAATGGTATGGCAGATTATTATTAATGTTCACCGATAGCCAGTAGTCATGTACTTCCAGATATGGGGGGGGTTATACTTCTCCACCCTCTTTAAGTTAGGTACCCACATGACTAGTTCTGACAAAAGAAATGTGCATCACTTCCAGGTTGAAGCATTTAATTGCAGGTGTTTCCAGGCCATTCTTACCTTTCCATAGAAATCATGGAAACCTGGGTTACTATGGCGGTGCCTTAAGATCAAAACAATCTGAGGTACAAAGCCACCTGTGGAGGACGGCTCCCCTAGAGATTCAAGTAAACCCACAGTGGATTTAATGAGAGAAATAAACCTTGAGCCACGCATTTGGAGACTGTTTTTCACTGTAGCAAACCCAGCCTACTCTGACTTGACATAGTAAAGAGAATTACAAAATAGACCTAAGGCGTGCTCTGATCCCCTTCAAAATTACATTAATCTTGGCTGAAACATGGCTGAATAAAAACTCAAGGGCTGGACAAAGGGGAAGAAGAACTCTGTGCAGTTAAGCTTAAAAAGCTCTTAGAATCGTCTGGAACCAAACCAACATTTTTCCCACTTTCAGAGCTCAGCACATCAATTAGTCCCATTACATGACACTGCTTCCTGGGTAGTCAGAACATTTCTAGATGTTTCCAATAAAATAGTATGGGAGCTCTGATCAGTATGGTAAAGGGTCATTTTTGGGGGTGGATTGCTGTCCTGTCTACCTGGTAAAATTCAACTAAGCAGGACCGGTTTTATTTAGAGAGGAGATGCTGGTACCTTTCCATTTTAATTAGCTTGGCTTATGTCCATATGGATCCTGAAATATGTTTGAACATACCATATTACTTATTTAATACTCAATTGCATCAAGAAGGCTAACACGAATTTGAAAATCGTTCTCATTTTCTACGTTATTAGTACATCATTTAGGTAGAGGTCAGACAAGCGTCTTCACTTTCTCCTAAACCCTCACTGTATCACATGCAGAAAGTCTAGAATCTATAGTAAAGTCAATTGATTTAGGAATAAAAAGTGAATGTGTAACTTTCTGAGAAATACAATCCCTGAAGCACTCATTAAAACAGCCAATTTTTATGACAGTGATTAACAACAGGGCACAATTCAAAAGCAAAAGCTTTGTTAACGTGAAGTAAACCGAGCGAGAGGGATGCCCTCAGAGCATCTCAGGGCCACTCTGCTGATGAGACCTGGCCTAACAAGAACAACTTGGAACACGCTTCCCGGTTTAATGTGCAAACAGGTCAGGTTCTCAGAGGCAGTTCTAAAATAATTTCAGAGGCTTTATTTTTAGCGGCGACAAAATTTAGGAATGTCTCTCTGACAAATAAATGACAGTAACACTTGCCACCTCTGTCAGGTCTCTTTCTAAAAGCTTTTTTCTATCTTTTTACACTTCATACTTTATATTGCATTAAACGCTTTATAACTGCTACCACCCAGATCACTGCTATTTTCCTATTTTAACCTAATGTTTCTGCTTCACTGCCGTCCATACACGAGCATGTGTGTACATGTGCACCCCCTTCTCCCAACACACAGGCCCTACTCACAGCTCTCATTTTATAATGCCTTTTTTTAAGGCCCACCGGAAAGGTTGTCACAGGGGCACGAAGGCAGCTGATGGCTCCTTTACAGTACTTCTGTCTGTCTGTGTATTTATTTTTACATTGTAGAGAAAGTCACAACTTCTTAAAAACAGTATATAAATGAACACAGTAGGTGTAAGCCAGCCAGAATGAAAAAATTAACATGTACTTAATGAAAATTATCATTTCTGTAACACAATAAACACCTATATCCTTTATCCTTTTGGACCAAATAGCAACTCTCTCTCTGTCTATGGCAAGTACTGGCACATCAGTGGTACAAAAACACCTTTGATGCAGTCACTTAGGAATTGTGTGGGGAAAAAAAAATCATCCTGACATCTGTATGCTAAGTAAAAAAGCTGGGGAATAAACAGATGAGTCACTGTACTTCCTTTCCTATTTCCAACTTCTAGCAATTTCAAGTTTATTAAAAAATTTGACATATACAACCCCACACCTACTATCTCTTCAATAACTTCTGAAAGATAGTTTCAAACAACTTTAAAGCTCAAGCTCCTTCTGAATTTCCCACAGTGTTTCCGCACTCTTCTTCAGACGGGCCTGTTCTTCAGGGGTCAGCGTCACCTTTACAAGGTCTGCGATACCACTCTCTCCCAAGACACATGGAACACTGAGGAATACTTCTTTGTTTATCCCATACAGACCCTTAATTATGGTGGAAACTGGATGCACTCTTCTAAGATTCCTCAAAATGCTTTCCGTTAAATCAGCTACAGATAAGCCAATGGCCCAATTAGTATAACCTTTCATTTTAATAATCTCATAGGCACTGGCAATTACATCTTTGTGGACATTTTTCCACTTCTCGGGATCTTTATCAGTTCCTATATCTGAACTCAAATCCTTCAGAGGGACACCAGCGATGTTCACTCCACTCCACACAGGGACACTGGAATCTCCATGCTCTCCAAGGACCCACCCATGACAGCTTTCAGAGTGAATACCAAGCTTTTGCCCAATCAAGAAACGGAAACGGGCAGTGTCCAGATTACAACCACTTCCAATAACACGGTTTTGGGGAAATCCACTCAATTTCCAGGCCACGTAAGTTAGTATATCTACTGGATTGGAAACAACAATCAGTTTGCAGCGAGGGCTATACTGGATAATATTGGAAATCATTAACTTAAAGATGGCCACGTTGCGCTGGACTAAATTAAGCCGTGTTTCTCCTTTTTCCTGGCGTGCACCTGCTGTGATGACCACAAGGTTGGAGTTTGCAGTGACAAGGTAATCTTTGCTGGAGGCAATAGTCGGCATTTTCACGAACGGACTGCCATGTTGCAGATCCATGGTCTCACCCTTCAGTTTGTCTTCATCAACATCCACAAGGGCAAGTTCATCGGTCAAGCCCTTTAACAGGATGCTGATAGCACAGGCCATGCCAACCGATCCGGTTCCTATAATGGAGACTTTGTTGTGATGAACGGCCTCCTCGGAGGTGAAATTCTTGATAAGCTCACACTTGATGGTCGCCATCCTGGACACGAGGGTGACGGGCCAGGCGACCGGAAGGCAGATGCCTGCCGGCTGGCGGGGACACAGCGCCCCCCTCGGGCACAGGAAATTCACTCTCGCAGCCTCCACTCTCCGGCCGGCCTGCAGGACTCCCACAGACCAGTTCATGGCTACTCACTCACGAGGTGGAGGGAGAGAAAGGAAGAAAACTGCAGACAAGCTCTGTGACCTGAGGGCACAGAGCAGCAGGTGACCGTTAGACACCTCCTGCACCTGCTACTGCGAGGCCTTGGCGGTTGGAAGGCCCCGCCCCCCCCGGTCCACTACTGCGACTGCGCGCGGCCGTGGCAGTTGGATGGCACCGCATCCACCCCCAACTACTTCGGCTGTGCGTGGCCGCGGCGTCGGAGGGCCCCGCAGCCCACTACCGCAGCTGTGCCAGTGGGCAGGCTCGCGTGGCATCTCAAGGGCCTCCAGAGTGGTACTTTGCATGTCTGCTCAGGCTGGGGTGGTAAAAGGGGTTCTCTGGCAAATTAATTCTGTAGATTGTTTTACACACATGAATTCTCTTCCATTTCTAACTTGTATAATGGGCCAACCCAGATCCCCGGGATTACGGATTTTCTATTTTGCTACAGATGCCAAGTAGAAATAATTCCAGTAGGTACAGATAAAAATAGGGTTAGATTTTCTGAACTGTATCCCTGCCGCAAAGAATAAGTTACGTGTGCTCTGTCTCCAAACGGCCGCCTTCACCATTTTCCTGCGTCTATAGGAGAAGCGGGGCTCCTGTTTTAAGTTGTATCCAATTGGAGAATTTTCTATTTGGAGAGGTTCCACTGCCTTTGTACCAGTCACGACCATGATCCACAACTGGGGCGGGGGGTGGGGGGAGTCACAGCGCTGGCAAAAAGGGGAAGGGGCCGACTGTGAGCTAGTCCAACAGTAGAAACTCAAAGGGAGATGCTGTTACTACTTTCTCATGCCAAAGGAAACCGTGTGATTCACAGTCCTGATTAAAAATTTCTCAGGTAGAAAGGTGGGGATGTAGCCTTCTATTCAAATGAAGATCTATGTTAAAGGTCTTTAAACTGGCAAATTTTGACCAACGCACAGATCAGATTATTGATTAAAGCAGTAAAATAAATATCAGTATCTCTTGCTTTCCACTGCATTTCTCTGGTCAGTCTTCTGAACTTGCTTTGAAGTTTCTAAGGAGATAGCAACTTTACATCTGATGAAATACAAATATATACCCTAATAAACCCAGTAAGCTACAAAAGTCAAATAAAAATAGTGGCACTTTCTCCCCACTTATAAAACAACTCTGACGATGTAATAATTCCTCAAAGTTCTCCTCTCCTTTTAAGAGCAATATGCTCTTGGGGCGCTCAGTCGGTTAAGCGTTCGACTTCGGCTCAGATCACAGCCTGGAGCCTGTTTCGGATTCTGTGTCTCCCTCTCTCTCGGCCCCTCCCCCACCCATGCTCTGTCTCTCTCTGTTTCTCAAAAATAAGTGTTAAAAAAAATAAATAAATAAAACAGCAATATGCTCTTCCCTAATAGGGCTCTTGGCACACACAGCCCCCTCCCAGTCAGAAAAAAGATTTCGGTTTCAGAACACCAAATCTCCACAAAATGAATATTTTATATTCAGGACTTAGAAATCTATATTCTTGTGTCACCGCAGTGCAGTCCAGGAAGAGAGGAACAATGAGCAAAGCAGTTGGTGAGGGGTGGGAAAGTGTGGCTAGTGGGGTTCCTGCAACCCTGTTTCGGTGGGACTCAGCACTCTAGCAGGGACCAGACATACTGTTTAGATGGCACAGGGTCACAAGCTCCATGATACACAAAGTGGTGACAGCATCACAAACATGAGTTCTCTCCACACTGGTAGTCAGTTTTATGGTAACCATTTGCCAAATTAACAACTGCAATTTTAAAAACAATCATCTTTATTTAATGGTGGCTAACATCACAGAGGGATCCTTTTAAAAGACCAACTTTTGATAGCTGTAGTTTCTTCTATCCCAGGCAGAATAGAAATATTTAAACCTGATGCCTGGTCCCACCTTCTTCCTATAATGATTCCTTTGACCAGTCAAGTCATTTTCCAAGATAAGTGTTCTTGAGGATGAAATTCAAGCACATAACAACTCTTAGCTAGATGACTTCTTTCTATAGTAATTTTCTTTCTAGAGTTTGAACCTCTTCAGAAATAAAATCTCTGACAGCTGCCTCTTCAGCTTTTCCCCTTAGCCACAACTAAATCAATTTTGAGAAAATAACACTCTCCAAAGTAAAAATACCTCAAACAAAGCAGCTTTTTATTTACAGTAAGTCTTGAGCTAAGAAGGGAAGAACTGAGAAAGACAAAGACATGTACATGACCTCCACAGAAGATTTAGGTCTACTCAAAGATGTGCGAAGTCAGATACAGCCAGACAACTCCCTAATGACCTGTCTGAGGTGGTTCCTTATTCCTTTCGAATGGAAAACCTAACTCAAACGATCTATTCAAAAGGCAGTATAATATTATTGCTGATGGGAGGAGGATGCTTGATTACATCACCTAGGAAGGAGGAAGCAGGAAATAAAAGATGACCAACAAGTCTCTGGACCCCAAATTGTTCCAACTAAGCCATTCTACTCCACCTGTCTGGACTCTCATCCCCAGCTCTCTGGCCCTTTTTCTATCTAGGAGTCTGGTCCAAATATTCCATCCTCTCAGTCTTGTACAATCCACACACCCCCCCCCCACCCCCCAGCAGAACTGACTTTTAAAAATCCTACGCCACCAGTGTCTTTTGCACCTTTCTCCATCATAGGATTTCTCACACACAATTAAGTGTAATTACATATGAATCTGTCACTCCAAAGGGATCACCTTTTATTTATAGCATATCACTATCCTCAAGAACACAGCTTGGTAAGCAAATTCAGTAAATATTCATCGTAGAAAAGAAGGAGTAGAGGAGTGCCTGGCTGGCTCAGTCAATAGAGCATACGACTCTTGATCTAAGGTTGTGAGTTCAAACCTACGCTGGACATAGAGATTACTTTAAAAAAATAAAAATCTTGAAAAGAAAACAAAGAATGAGTATAGAACTGAGTGAAGTAAGGCTAAAGGTGAGAGAAACAGAAAGGCATGGCTGGAGAATCCACCTAGTACCAGAGTTCTAAATGAAGGGGTAGGTAAAATGTGTAGATGCCTGTTGGGGGTTTCTTAGCAAGGCTGATGTATAAATTTTAGACTAAGCTATGGATAGGCTAAAAGATTTCTTAACTGTTTCCAAAGCCAAAGCCAATACCTCCCTTTACCAAGTTAGAACACACAAAAAAATAAAAAATAAAAAAAAAACAGTAATAATAAAAGAAAGAAATTCTACAGTGCTAGAAACACAGTAAAATAAATATGCAATGGCGGAAAGAATATTTTCATTCTTTAAACAAATATTTTGTTCTTTGGAAAGCTTTTAAAAAGTAACCACTGCATAAAACCCTTGATTTGAAAAAAAAAAAAAAAGAAAAAAAGAAGTTGCAATGAAAGAAGTGTTAATTAATATTATAAGCTATAAACTCACCAGCAAGCAAGTAGAGCATTATATAAACACAATTATTTTAAAAGTCTTCTTTGTGATTTAAAAATCATAAAATGCAAATCGTAGTTTTAAAACAAATTAGTGGGCTATGATTCTCTTGCTCATGAACTAAAATCTATACAACTCTGTAATCCTTGTGTGGGGGTGTTTAGAAATACCGGCACCTTATGTAGTTTCCTTTGTCAGCAATACGGGGAATGTTGGGGAGGGACAAAAGCAGGGCCACACAGCTTTGTCTCCTGATAGAACAAAGGTAGACTGTCACTGCAAAACAACATTGGGATCAACTTCCATTTATGGTATTCAAATATCATAACAGGAATTGGCAAATTCATCTAATAAAGAACCCAAATCCCACTTCTGTTCTTTAAAGACATCATCTAGGGGCGCCTGGGTGGCGCAGTCGGTTAAGCGTCCGACTTCAGCCAGGTCACGATCTCGCGGTCCGTGAGTTCGAGCCCCGCGTCGGGCTCTGGGCTGATGGCTCAGAGCCTGGAGCCTGTTTCCGATTCTGTGTCTCCCTCTCTCTCTGCACCTCCCCCGTTCATGCTCTGTCTCTCTCTGTCCCAAAAATAAATAAACGTTGAAAAAAAAAAAA